AGTCACCTGGTCACATTCTGGCCGAGAATCGCTGTGAATGCTGGCATGTCACATTTTTCCGTCCAAGGATGCAGGCTTGCGCGCAAAGCACACGCCACGGGCCGTGCGGTAACGCACCAGGGCCCACCCACCGGTATCGGCACGCCCAAACACCGAGCGCTACTACAGCGCGACGCGCGCATGCCTCGGGCAGCGGTGTTTAAACAGCACCGACGCCGATGGCTGGGCTGCGTCCTGGGCGCCAAAGGGCCGAAGCCGCACCACAACGTATGACCGCGCACAAGTGATCCTTTTTTATGAGCGAATAAACGCTCGCGATTCAGGGTTAGGGTTAGGAGATAGGGTGGGGTAGTAAGCTTGATCCTATCTGGTCGGCATGTCGTGCCACCACTCCTAACCGAGACCTGTTCCAGGGTGGAGATTCGTGAGGGAGGTCCCCGAGTTTCGCGGCAGCCACAGCTCACACTACTCGTCGGTTCCCTCCTTCAGAACTGCTTTGTTCCACGCAGAGAATTTGTTAAACATATTCTCTGTGCGTTTCAGTGATTTGATGAGTGGACCTTTGAGCGACTCGGGAATGGGTTCCTCGTGTCGGTTCCATTGTTCCATCATCTTTGAAAGCACAGCCTGGACATCAATGTATTCCTAGTATTCGTCGTATGAAGATGGTAGCATGAGTGGTAGACCTGCGGCGGGTGTCTTATGCTTGAAGAGGACAGCCCGTCGGTCGTCATATCGTACCAATCCTTTCCACAACTGAAGCCTGTCCGACGGGTATCCACGCCGTCGCAATGCTTGATGGAACTCTTGAAGCCGTTCCTCGAACAGCCGCCTTGAAGACGAGAGAACCATGAAGCGAGTCATTTCTGCTTTAACGAAAGCACGTTTCACCGTAAGGGGGTGAGCAGACGACCAGGGAATATAGTGATGTTTATTCATTCGTTTCCGAAAAGCACGTGTTTGTAACCCCAGTGCTCCGAAACCTTGTTCAAAGAAGAACTCCGCGTCTAAGAACGCGGTCGGTATACGAGATGAATTAATTTCCCATGAGGTGTGATAAGGTTTCACGCTCTGGCTCAGTCCATTGAGCCACATCTCACAGGCTGTCTTCGGGCCTTTGAAGATGACAAAAACATCGTCCATGTATCGCGCAAAGAAGAGCAAGCCTTCTTCGTTTGATGCACGGAGATATGGAGATTCTTTTGAGGCAAGACTCAGGTTTGCGAATGACGGGGCGCACGAAGTACCCATGGCGACACCTGAGGTTTGCTGGTAGAACTTGCCATCGAACTCGAAGCAGTTAACGCTCATGACAATTTCCAACAGTTGATGGATGCGTCGAGCGTTGATACCGTCAATCATTTCAGGGAACTGCATGTCACGGATAATTTGTACAGTTTCCTGGAGCGGGACATTGGTGTAGAAGCTCTCCACGTCACCGGTGCAGAGCCACACATTGTCCGATCTCAGAATTGACTTTGTCTCTAGCTTGGCAATCAGCTCTTTGGTCGATTCAACGACCCAAGGAGCCGTTCGTGTGAGTGCCATGCGGAGAATATGATCAGAGACCTCTGAACATCTTCTCGTGACCCATGAGTGACTGGGAATGATCGGGCGTAATGTCCAGTTCTTCTTATGTACCTTGGGGATAGCATGGAAGACTGGGACGCCTTTGTCATTTTCTGACGAGAGTAGGTATTCAGCGGTTGAACCTTCCGCAATACCAAGGTCGATGAGGTGTCTGATTCTTTTCAGAACTTCCGTGCGATAGTAGTCTATGTCTTCCTTGCAGATCTCATTGTAGACATCTTTATTAAGTAGCATGCGTTTGCAGTGCTCGACATACCAAGTTTTCTGAATCATTGCAAGTCCCAGATTTTTGTCTGTGAGTTTGACCAGGAACTTTCCATCTGTGAGGAACTCGCCGATCATTTTTAGGTCTGGATTAGGCCTTCGGGTGTCTGAGAGGGTTAGGGCTTCTGCTTGTTGGAGCAGTAAGTCCTTGCCTCTTTCGAGCCCTTTTTCAATGATCGGATCCCATTGGTCTGCAGGTGGTTCCCACGTCGGTTTGGGGACGTAGAACTTGTTCGACGGTTTGTCTGAGTTGCGGAAGTGCCAGCGAATGCGGACACTTCGTTGAAGCTGTTTCCAGGCTTCAGGCAACTTCAAGAAATTCGGTTTATGATGGAGAATGAACTTCGCGTTAAGCGCGATTGCATGCTCGACATGTCTGGGGACAGTCACACCCGGCCCTAGGAACACGCCGCTGGCGAAGTCATGGGCTTCATCCAGCAGGTACGCGGGAGTGTAGAGTGTAATTATTCTTTTTCTAGCTATGTCTGATACAGAAAGAAAGAGATCCGAATGTTTCTCAATGAAGTGTACACCGTCGTCTGTGATTGAACGCAGCAGAGAACGAGGATGGACAGATACAAAGGAGGGGAGTCGGGAAGGCAAAGTAGTTGGAGGTACACGCGAGCTTCGTCGCGCATCCCTTTGCTCTACTCGCGATCCACTCGGGGTTGGCGATGCACGCAGGTTTCGAAGCGTAGCCCTTGGCTCTGCCTGCGATCCCCGGCCCGCCCGACCACGACCCGCTAGACTTGTTTGAAAAATAGAGTCTAATCTGTCTACTTCTTTTGAGACTTCTTCTTCCCATTCCCTTTTCCTTTTCCGCGAGACTTGTTGACCTTCGAGCCCTTTGCAGGACCTGATGTTCGTTTCGCGGCTTTTCTCTTGGGTGGGGACGCTTTGGACTGAGTCCGAGGCGAATTTTTTCCTGGGTGATCCGTTAGCGTGAGGTGAGAACGTGTCTAGAAGAGCACGCAGCTGACCTTGCTGTTTTCCCATGAAACCTTGTTTTCGCATCTCTTGGATGACGAGGGACTTGATGATATCAGACTTCTCTTGCGAGTCATCCATGTTCACATCTCCATCCTTGTCGTGGGCAAGAGTCAAGGCTTTGAAGCGCTTGGCTGTTTCTCGTGATACCAGGGCAAAAGCCAGTGCAACGGCCCGGGCAGGGTACCGAGTGCCATTGGTTTTGAAGGCTTTTTGGTCTGCGACCAGCCATATAGGCAATGTGCCAGACGCGAAAGACCCGTCTCCTTTTGGGAGGACTTGTCCGTCCGCCGCAATGTCCTTTGTGACCTCCTTCTCGATTGTGTTGATACGTTCGGTGTAGGTTCCCTCTGCGAAGGTGCCTTGGAGGTTAGGGTTAGGGTTAGGGTTAGGGTTAGGGTTAGGGTTAGGGTTAGGGTTAGGGTTAGGGTTAGGGTTAGGGTTAGGGTTAGGGTTAGGGTTA